CGTCGAGTGACTATAGGAGATCTCATTAGGGAGCAGCATAAGCCCAATGAGACACTGGTGGATTATCTCTTAAGGTGGAGAAACCTAAGCATGAAGTGCGAGCCACAAATTGACAAAAAGTATGCAATTGAAATAGTACTTGAGAATATCCATGGAAAGATCGGCTTCATGCTTAAGGGACTTACGATTAAGTCTTTTGAGAAGCTCTTCACCAAGGTTGCAAAGCTTCAAGAGGAGCTTAAGCACTCAAATGAAGGTAAAGAAGATAGGGTCAGACCAATAAAGGCTTATGACAAGAAAGTCGGTATGGTATCTGTAGTTAATAAAGGAAAGCAGCCGATGAGTAGGGATGACCATCCTCAACGTTTCTATCAACAACAGCAATCAGTTCCCCAGTTTACTCAGCCATTCATCCAGCAAGTTAGCCAGCGTCCACCTCAGTATCCTCAACCCAATCAATAGTATGTGTCTCAGTATTCTGAGCCTCATGATCGACAGTATGCGTCGAGGTTTGCTCAGTAAGGACAATCTTCAAATCTACCCAGAACCTACAATAAACCGACCCTAACAGAGCTCTTGAACAAGGTCTATTCTTTTAAGAACGAGGCAGTGGCCAAAATTTTTAAGAACCTGTCAAAGAAGACTGAGTTTAAGCTTCCAGAAGCTAAGAGGCCGGAAGAAGTTGGTAGGACAGACAGTCCAAACTATTGTCCTTACCACAGAATGTTGGGTCATACGAATCATACGATCGAAAACTGTGTCACCTAAGGAAACTACCAGCGAAGCTAATTATTTTTGATGCTCTAATCCTATTGAAGGAAATGAGACACGCACTCATCGAGGCCCTGCTCGACCCTAAAATTTGCTTAGCCCAGTTGACTAGTACATCCCCTGAGGTGGCCTGTTCATTACAAGATCAACCTGAAGTCACCTTTTCGAATGAAGAACTTTTACTTGGGACAGCAGACCACAACAGACCGCTCTACATTTCAGTCAATATTGGAAAAGTTGTTCTTTCCAGAGTTTTAGTAGACCCAAGAGCTTCATTGAATATAATGAATCTCCGAACATTAGCTTATCTGGATATCGATGCACAAAAGCTTGATAATGATAAAATGATGTTAAGGGGATTCAACCAGAAAGGAGAAAGAGCTATAGGATCCATTACTTTGATGTTAAATGCTGGAGATTTGGTAACCACTGCAAAATTCCATGTCATCGATTCAGAAACTTCATTCAATGCTTTACTCAGACGTCCTTGGATTCATGAGTATAATATGGTACCGTCATCCCTACATCAGTGCATCAAGTACTACAAAGATGGACGAGAACAATGTATTAAAGGAGATCTTCAACCATTCTCAATTCACGAAGTGGGGACCTCAAAAATCCATTACTTCTCCCACTCCACATGAAGAAGATGATTCTTTTAGTCTACATATCCGAGATCAAGGTCGGGGACGTAGACAAATAAGAATCAATAGGTTGTTCGAACTAGACAATCCATCCATTAAAGTCGACTTGGAAACCAGCTCAGAGGATGAAGAGTTTCAAATAAAGGCGATACTTATTAACGAGAAGAAGCCTCAATTTAAAGTGCAAGTTGAAGAGGAAGAAAATAATGCATACCAGACGATGTACGATCGTCTCTGATTGTACATACCATGACCTTAACTCCAATCAAATCCAATAAGGTTGAGAGCTTAGGGGTTAAGGAAGTACATACTGAAGGCATGAAGCCCATCAAGTTTTACTCTGCTACTACTACTACTTCTTCTTCAGATATTGATTTACTCTTTGAAGAAAATTTTAATGAATTGATGTAATTACCTTTTGATTAATTTTTGCCTTATGTTAGGAAGTTAATTCAACAAGGTTCATTGTTGAGCTATATGCCAAAAAATATATTAAAACTCTTTGAAAAGCTATGGGATACCAAGGCTCGTAATTCTAATACAAAGAGCGGTCTTGGGTTCGGAACGATAGAACAATTTGATGATACAGAATTTTGCATGGTTGTTACTACAGAGCAATGTATGGAGGTTAATGAAGATTATGAAGAGCCATCGATAGGAGATGCTCCCCCTGAGTTTGAGGAAGAGATCAAGTCTACTATCGATGAATTAAGGGAAATTAACTTGGGAACAGAGGAAGAGCCTAGACATACCTTCATTAGTTTCCTGCTTGATGAAAAAGAGTCTAAGGACTTGATCAAATTACTCCAAGAATTCAAAGATTGCTTCGCTTGGAGTTATGAAGAGATGCCGGGTTTAGCACCAGAAATCGCAGTCCACAGACTCGGGGTTGATTCAAGTATCCCCATTGTAAAGCAAGCACCTCGAAGAATGAGGGTGGAAATTGAACAAAAAGTTGTCACAGAAGTTAAGAAGTTAATAGAAGCTAAATTTGTGAGGGAAGAACAATACCCTAGATGGTTAGCAAATGTTGTCCCAGTTAGGAAAAATAACGGACAGATTCGAGTCTGTGTTGATTTCAGGGATTTGAATAAGGCATGTCCAAAAGATGAATTTCCCTTACCAATACTAGAGTTAATGGTAGACATTGCCTCATCTCATGAAATCTTCTCCTTCATGGATGGCTCCTCTGAGTACAATCAGAAAAAGATGGCACCTGAGGATGCTTCATTAACAGCTTTTAGAACTCGGAATCTTCTGCTACACGGTGATGTTTGTTGGTCTAAAGAACGCATGAGAAACGTATCAGAGAGCGATGAAAAAGGTATTTGACGAAGTCATCCATAAATAAGTAGAATGTTATGTGGATGACATGGTTATTAAAAGTGAAGACAAGAATGATCATTTGTATGATTTGAGGATTGTATTTAATCGGGTTCGGTTATGACAATATAATCTCAAGATGAATCCTTTAAAGTGAGCTTTCGGCGTTACCTCAGAGAAATTTCTAGGATTTTTTGTCCGTCACCGGGGAATTGAGATCGATCCAGTTAAGATTAAAGCTATCTTAAAAATGCCATCTCCAAAAACTTTAAAAGAACTACGATCACTACAAGGAAAGTTGGCATATCTAAGACGGTTTATATCTAATTTGGCGGCATATCCAATTTGTCGGGAAGGTGTCAGCCTTTTTCTGCGTTGATAAAAAAAGATGCCAAATTCATTTGGGACGAAACTTGTCAACGTGCATTTGAGAATATCAAACAATATTTAATGACGCCTCCAGTTTTAGCAGCCCTTATTCTGGGTCGACCTTTGATACTTTGCACCGCGGCGTTAGATGACTCCCTCGGAGCCTTGCTAGCACAAGTTAATGAGGAGGGCAAAGAAAATGCTCTTTATTATTTAAGCAGACATCTGATACCAGCGGAAGTATGTTATCCTCCAATTGAAAAGCACGGTCTCACTTTAATCTTTGTAGCTCAGAAACTAAGACATTACATGCTTTGGCATAAGGTTAGTTTAATTTCACGAGTTAATCCATTGCAATACATAATGACTAGAGCAACACTAGCTGGTAGATTAGCCAGATGGTCAATGGTATTGTTACAATTTGATATAACTTTTGTTCCTCTTCGCACTATCAAAGGACAGATACTAGCAGACTTCCTAACAGAACACCCGCTTCCAGCTGAGTCCCCTCTTAACGACGATCTACCAGATGAGCAAGTGCTGAATGTAGAATCTCCCCTTGAGCAGCGTTGGGAAATGTATTTTGACGGAGCTGCATCAGCTACAAGAGTCCAAGGTTCACATAAAGTGATACCTGGAAAGGCGGGAATTGGCTTAGTGTTCGTGACACCAGAGCGCGGAATGATGAGATATTCCTATCACCTCTCAGATTCGTGCACGAGTAATGAAGCGGAGTATGAAGCCTTAATAGCGGGACTAGAACTGACTATTTTGATGGGTATTACAGATGTCAACATATACGGGGATTCACAGTTGATCATCCAGCAGATCACCGGCCAATACAAAATTCTGAAACCGAGACTTGAGGAATACTACAAGTATGCCATAAAACTGTTAGAACAAATCCCGAATGTTACTTTGTACAGGATTCCTCGAGGGGATAACTCGCATGCAGACACTTTAGCAAAGTTAGCTAAAGAACTCGCATGCTCACTGCCAGATTCAATTAATATTGTTGTTACAGGAAGACAAGTGTTATCCAGAATTGATATAGGAAGACTATATGAAGCAGAAGAAAAAGATTCAATAATAGCAACTACAGCGGCCGAGGATGCTGAGGATTGGAGACAGCCATTCGTCAGATATCTGTAGACAGGTACGCTTCCAGATGATAAGTCAGCGACATATCAGATATTGAAGAGAGCAATGTCATATGCACTGGTCAATGATATTTTGTTCAGAAGAGCATTCGATCAGATGTGGTTGAGGTGCTTGGGTTGTAAGGAGGCACAAAATCTTGTTAAAGAGGTTCATGCTGGACTGTGTGGTGCACATCAGTCAGGACCAAAGATGAAGATGAAGATCAAGAGACTGGGCTACTATTGGCCTGCTATGATGACCTGCTATGATGACAGATTGCATGGAAACAGCCAAAAGGTGCCATCAGTGTCAGATACACGGGGTGGTCCTACACCAACCACCGAATATGCTACACCCGACTGTCGCCTCGTGGCCATTTGAGTGTTGGGGTACAGATATAGTGGGTCTCATAAACCCCCCTTCTTCTAAAGGACACAGATTTATTCTTGCAGCAACAGATTATTTCTCGAAATGGGCGGAAGCGATTCTGTTACTAGAAGTGACATCACATCATGTTCTACAGTTTTTTAAAAATCGTTGTTTACCGTTTCGGGGTACCACGCAGGATAATCTCAGACAATGGAACATCATTCAAGAGCACCAAAATCAATAGCTTCGTTGGGCCGCATGGTATAGATTGGAGGTATTCAACGATCTATTATCCAAAAGCAAATGGTCTGGCAGAAGCTTTCAACAAACATTAATACAAATTCTAAAGAAAACCCTTGACGGAAATAAGAGACAATGGCACGAGAAGTTGCTGGAGGCATTGTGGGCATATAGGACAACGGTTAGGACCCCCACTGGGTCCACACCATATACTCTAATGTATGGGTTCGAAGCTATACTACCTTTAGAAATACAATTGCCTTCTCTTCGAGTGGCCGTGGAAAACAAGATTATTACAGAGGACAGCTCCAGACTTCGACTAGAAGAATTAGAAACTTTGGAAGGACGAAGGCTAGCAGCGCAACAGAATCTAGAGCTTTATCAAGCTAAAATGGTTCAAGCCCACGATAAGTTAGTCCGCCCAAGGACTTTTAAGGTCGGTGAGCTCGTTCTTGTCCTCAGAAGACCTATTCTAGCACATCGCAAGATATGTGGAAAATTTGAGCCTACTTGGGAGGCACCATTTGTCGTGGAGAGAGTCTTTACCGGAGGAGCTTATCAACTAGTGGATTGTCGAGGCGAGAGACAAATTGATCAATTGGAGATATTTAAAGAAATACTATGCAACCTGACACCTTTAACAACCTTCTTTTGTTATTTTTTGGGTGTTTTGTCTGTTTTGGGCATCAATAAAGAGAAGTTGCTAGAGGCATTGTGGGCATATAGGACAACGGTTAGGACCCTCACTGGGTCCACACCATATACTCTAATGTATGGGTTCGAAGCTATACTACCTTTAGAAATACAATTGCCTTCTCTTCGAGTGGCCGTGGAAAACAAGATTATTACAGAGGACAGCTCCAGACTTCGACTAGAAGAATTAGAAACTTTGGAAGGACGAAGGCTAGCAGCGCAACAGAATCTAGAGCTTTATCAAGCTAAAATGGTTCAAGCCCACGATAAGTTAGTCCGCCCAAGGACTTTTAAGGTCGGTGAGCTCGTTCTTGTCCTCAGAAGACCTATTCTAGCACATCGCAAGATATGTGGAAAATTTGAGCCTACTTGGGAGGCACCATTTGTCGTGGAGAGAGTCTTTACCGGAGGAGCTTATCAACTAGTGGATTGTCGAGGTGAGAGACCAATGCTTCTGATCAATTGGAGATATTTAAAGAAATACTATGCAACCTGACACCTTTAACGACCTTCTTTTGTTATTTTTTGGGTGTTTTGTCTATTTTGGGCATCAATAAATAAAATTGTAATAAAACTCAAAATTGTCATGAACAAAATTTGGCACGCCACTTCTTGTCACACCTTCTTGCATATGTTTTTTTTTAAATTCCATTAAAATAAATATATAAAGATTCTAATAACATTTTTTTATCATTCTGAGTTTTACCTAAACTGGAGGGCACGGACGTTTCTCCTGTCTCTTACAGGAAAATGTCGGGGCGGGGACCGGTAGTTTCATAAGGGAGTAAATCAACGAGGTACCCAATTCCTTCTTGCACTAGATAGGTGTAAGGCCTCCAGGTTCTGTTGAGGCATCCGATTCCTATAATTTTCTTGAGGATAAGGGAGTAAATCAACGAGGTACCCAATTCCTTCTTGCACTAGATAGGTGTAAGGCCTCCAGGTTCTGTTGAGGCATCCGATTCCTATAATTTTCTTGAGGATAAGGGAGTAAATCAACGAGGTACCCAATTCCTTCTTGCACTAGATAGGTGTAAGGCCTCCAGGTTCTGTTGAGGCATCCGATTCCTATAATTTTCTTGAGGATAAGGGAGTAAATCAACGAGGTACCCAATTCCTTCTTGCACTAGATAGGTGTAAGGCCTCCAGGTTCTGTTGAGGCATCCGATTCCTATAATTTTCTTGAGGATAAGGGAGTAAATCAACGAGGTACCCAATTCCTTCTTGCACTAGATAGGTGTAAGGCCTCCAGGTTCTGTTGAGGCATCCGATTCCTATAATTTTCTTGAGGATAAGGGAGTAAATCAACGAGGTACCCAATTCCTTCTTGCACTAGATAGGTGTAAGGCCTCCAGGTTCTGTTGAGGCATCCGATTCCTATAATTTTCTTGAGGATAAGGGAGTAAATCAACGAGGTACCCAATTCCTTCTTGCACTAGATAGGTGTAAGGCCTCCAGGTTCTGTTGAGGCATCCGATTCCTATAATTTTCTTGAGGATAAGGGAGTAAATCAACGAGGTACCCAATTCCTTCTTGCACTAGATAGGTGTAAGGCCTCCAGGTTCTGTTGAGGCATCCGATTCCTATAATTTTCTTGAGGATAAGGGAGTAAATCAACGAGGTACCCAATTCCTTCTTGCACTAGATAGGTGTAAGGCCTCCAGGTTCTGTTGAGGCATCCGATTCCTATAATTTTCTTGAGGATAAGGGAGTAAATCAACGAGGTACCCAATTCCTTCTTGCACTAGATAGGTGTAAGGCCTCCAGGTTCTGTTGAGGCATCCGATTCCTATAATTTTCTTGAGGATAAGGGAGTAAATCAACGAGGTACCCAATTCCTTCTTGCACTAGATAGGTGTAAGGCCTCCAGGTTCTGTTGAGGCATCCGATTCCTATAATTTTCTTGAGGATAAGGGAGTAAATCAACGAGGTACCCAATTCCTTCTTGCACTAGATAGGTGTAAGGCCTCCAGGTTCTGTTGAGGCATCCGATTCCTATAATTTTCTTGAGGATAAGGGAGTAAATCAACGAGGTACCCAATTCCTTCTTGCACTAGATAGGTGTAAGGCCTCCAGGTTCTGTTGAGGCATCCGATTCCTATAATTTTCTTGAGGATAAGGGAGTAAATCAACGAGGTACCCAATTCCTTCTTGCACTAGATAGGTGTAAGGCCTCCAGGTTCTGTTGAGGCATCCGATTCCTATAATTTTCTTGAGGATAAGGGAGTAAATCAACGAGGTACCCAATTCCTTCTTGCACTAGATAGGTGTAAGGCCTCCAGGTTCTGTTGAGGCATCCGATTCCTATAATTTTCTTGAGGATAAGGGAGTAAATCAACGAGGTACCCAATTCCTTCTTGCACTAGATAGGTGTAAGGCCTCCAGGTTCTGTTGAGGCATCCGATTCCTATAATTTTCTTGAGGATAAGGGAGTAAATCAACGAGGTACCCAATTCCTTCTTGCACTAGATAGGTGTAAGGCCTCCAGGTTCTGTTGAGGCATCCGATTCCTATAATTTTCTTGAGGATAAGGGAGTAAATCAACGAGGTACCCAATTCCTTCTTGCACTAGATAGGTGTAAGGCCTCCAGGTTCTGTTGAGGCATCCGATTCCTATAATTTTCTTGAGGATAAGGGAGTAAATCAACGAGGTACCCAATTCCTTCTTGCACTAGATAGGTGTAAGGCCTCCAGGTTCTGTTGAGGCATCCGATTCCTATAATTTTCTTGAGGATAAGGGAGTAAATCAACGAGGTACCCAATTCCTTCTTGCACTAGATAGGTGTAAGGCCTCCAGGTTCTGTTGAGGCATCCGATTCCTATAATTTTCTTGAGGATAAGGGAGTAAATCAACGAGGTACCCAATTCCTTCTTGCACTAGATAGGTGTAAGGCCTCCAGGTTCTGTTGAGGCATCCGATTCCTATAATTTTCTTGAGGATAAGGGAGTAAATCAACGAGGTACCCAATTCCTTCTTGCACTAGATAGGTGTAAGGCCTCCAGGTTCTGTTGAGGCATCCGATTCCTATAATTTTCTTGAGGATAAGGGAGTAAATCAACGAGGTACCCAATTCCTTCTTGCACTAGATAGGTGTAAGGCCTCCAGGTTCTGTTGAGGCATCCGATTCCTATAATTTTCTTTAAGATAAGGGAGTAAACCAACAAGGTACCCGATTCCTTCTTACACTGGATAGGAGTAAGATCTCTAGGTTCTGTTGAGGCATCCAATTCCTACAACTTTCTTCAGGATAAGGGAGTAAACCAACAAGGTACCCGATTCCTTCTTGCACTGGATAGGTGTAAGACCTCCAGGTTTGTTGAGGCATCCGATTCCTACGATTTTCTTCAGAATAAGGGAGTAAACCAACAAGGTACCCAATTCCTTCCCGCAATGGATAGGTGTAAGACCTCCAGGTTTGTTGGGACATCGGATTCCTATAATTTTCTTCAGAATAAGGGATTAAACCAACAAGGTACTCGATTCCTTCCTGCACTAGATAGCTGTAGACCTCCAGGTTCTATTGAGGCATCCGATTCCTACGATTTTCTTCAGGATAAGGGAGTAAACCAACACGGTACCCGATTCCTTCTTGCACTGGATAAGTGTAAGACCTACAGTCCATGTTCTGTTGAGGCGTCTAATTCCTAGAACTTTCTTCAGGATAAGGGAGTAAACCAACAAGGTACCCGATTCCTTCTAGCACTGGATA